CAGCGTCCTTCAAAATTGCTAGCAGTGTTTGAAGGGATTTACTGTCACTACCCACGTGACACGTTTAACACTTCAGCAGGTGAACTGACCTTTAAATATGATCCTTCTCAAAGAAGTAGTGACAGAATAAAGTCTGCTAACTGAAGCTCTGACTACATTTAGGCCAGCTCTGCAGACTTCAATAAGAGTACTGTGGTTTTAAAACAATTAAGGATCTGGGTATTTTTTTAAGGATATTTTGTTCCCTTTATAAACACAGCCTACTCAGCAGAATGTCCATATTAAAAAAGAATTCCTTTTACTTTCCCATGTCTCATTTGTCCACACAGACAGTCTGATAGACTACAGTGATACACGAGATTTTATTTATTGTATATGGACAACAATCACATGGCTTGTATAATAAATTTAAATGTCTGTCAGTGAGGGCAAATGAGGTCAAGGACAGTGAATGCAAAGAAGAAGAACTAGCAACTAGAGGAATAAGAGGATTGCACACAATGTGTCCCCCCCGCCATGAGAGGTTTATTTCCTTTACCCCCAGCAATTTGTTCAGCCACACTGAGTCTACCAATTTACAAAGTGGATTATATTCCGTACAATTAGAGTACCAAGTAACTATTTTTCATGGTATTACTAATGGGCCATACTGTCTGTTGGAGATGAAACAGCAGGGATCATTCCGTTTGTAACTGAAGGGTTAATTCTGTTAGTGTTAAAGTCAAATAGGCAGAGTGGCATGATCTTCACTTACGTATGTAACACAGACACTGATTAGCTGTGCAGTTCTGAAGGAGTTTTTCCACCCTGCTATGTAAAAGGCTTGATTAAGAAAGACGTCTCTGTTCCTTTCTCCTCAAAGCATACATTGTTTGCTCAATTTATGCTCAGTAAAGTGCTATCGGGATCCCCCTCCCCCTGCTCTGGATTCCATCTGTTTTATTTAAGTGATTTTGCTAACACTGTCATGTACCACTTACAGCAGCTTTAATGAAAAAATGTTGTCGGTGGTGGAAGGGTTGTGCTCCCAATATTCTCTCCTCCCACCCCCCAGCTTGGAAAACCAGTTTAAATGAAAAATAGGTAATGTTGCAATATGGAAAGATATTGCATCGCTGAAAACATGTTGCTAAGCCATGCATGTTTTATGCATGTCTCACATTTCAGTTGGGTGCCTTTGTTCTTTCTTTAAAGCAGGCATTCTCTTGGTTCCTTAAATCAAAAACGGCAATTGCCATGTATACATCAAATTTGTTACAGCTAATGATTGGCTGATCAGGAGGGTGCGCCAGGCTGCTTTCCAGGAATCACTTGCTTCATAATGGAAAGTGTAACCTCTCTCTCTCTCAACATCTGAGAGACTGCAATATAAAGTGTCACCCTACAGTTTCATTTTCTCCAGTATTGGTTAGATTTGCACCCTGCCTTTCTAAGACTTATGACCCACTCAAGGTGACTTACGCAGAATTAAAATCACAACCATAGCAAAACATCTATTATATATAAAGACAGAGGCGACAGATAGAAACAGTCCTTAGCAGAGACACTTGTCTAAGGTGGCACAGTGAATGAAAATGGCAATATCAGCCCTTGCTGGCAAACGTTTTCCAAGAACTAGAGTAAAGATGTTTCCCAGACCCTTCTACCCAGTTTGGGTAAACTGTGACCCTCCCATATGATAGGTTTGCCATATTTCAAAAAGAGAATATCCAGACATGGACTGCCATACATCCAGATATTCCTGGACATTTCAGCGATTTCCACCCGGATGCTGTTTAAGAGGGCCAAATACCAACTACTTCTGGGAAATTGTGGGCGTATTTGGAGTCCAAAACCAACAGGAGAGTCACAGATTGGCTGCCCTCTGCTTTAAATGGACATGCTAATGGTCGACTGCATGGGTTCTACTACTGAACTGTGAGCCCTTCTCTTAGCATCACATTTCCTTATTCTTGGGTTCAGTTCACAGTGTCAAGTGTGAGTCGGGCTATGCACAGGTACAGTGGTGGTGATGCACAATGATGGCAGGTGGGGAGGATGCTGCATCCATTGTGTTCTGTGGAAGCACAAGAGCAAGGCCTAGAAAAGATTGTTCTCTGGCACAAATCTTGGAGAGGCTAGATTGTTTGGGGATATATAAGGCTAGGTCAGGCAAGACAGAACCTCTGACAGCTTCCAGGAAGTTGCTTCAACAAAGGGCTGAAGTCAGCTGAGTGCTGAAGCCTGCATTTGGCAGGCAAAAGATTCCATAGCATCTTCCATTAAAAATATTAGGTAGGCAAAGATGGGGAAGACCTCACTGAGAGCTGGTGCCAATTGGAGTAGACCAGTGTTCTTCAACCATGGGTTCAGAGATGATGATCAACTGCAAATCTCATCATTCCTTGCTTCTATCTAAACTGGTTGGGGTGATGATAATTGTAGCCCAACAACGCCTAGGGAACCAAAGTTGAAGAACACTGGAGTAGACGGTAGGGCTACATGGACAAGCCCTTGCATTAAAACTGATGAGATTTAGCCATTGATTCTATAATACGAAGTGGCTATATCGAGCTTCTGCTGGCTTCTACTCACTGCAGATAGCAAAAACTTCATTTCTCATCTATTTCCAAAGACTTTAGAATGTCTTGCCTCACTTTCACGAGTGCTAGAAACATGTTTTAACAAATACTTCCATTCTCAGAATGACCGCTCCACGCTTAAAACGGGGGGCGCCCTTTGCGTGGACGCGCGCAGCCCCTAGATCTGGAGCGGCTCCAACAGCATAGGCTTGGTTTGCCTTCCCTCAGGTGGGATACCTGGAGGTCTCCGCCTACCTCAGTCAGTTGTCCAATCCCACCTGGGGGAAGCGTTGCCAAGGAGACCAGGCCAGGTAGGGGAGGGATTACCTGCCCACACAATAGAGGGAGGATCTTACCTGGGAATCCTCACTTGGCTCCAGAGCTTCTCCCACCCTACCCACCCTCAGTTAATGTCTTATTTGCAGGTTAACTTTTCTTCACAGGTTTGCAGGTTAACTTTTCTTCACAGGTATGCGGGCGCTGCTACGTTAAGGTCGCTGTTAAAGGGCCGGAAAGGAATTTCCCTGCATTGGCAGGTTTCGCCTTTCCCGTAGCAAAACGTCACAACTTTGGTGGTATCAGGCCTTGGGCGGAATCCTTTAGTCCATCTTCCTCTTTGCGGCGGCGATACCAGGGTTCCCCGTTAAAGGGGTTTCTGAAGGGAGGCTTTGACCGTACGCCGAAAGGTCGTCATTGCTCTCCCCTGCGGCGGCGGCGTAACGGGGGCGGCTATCTCTGCTTGAACATATGTTCTCCAGAGCCGGCCCATCCCCCACACACACTGGATAACCCTGATGCTCCCTAGGTCCCCGGCTGGGGACTGGGGAGGGAGAATGCCCAATGCCTGAGCCAAGGTCTACCCACATTTGAAATTTAATAAAGTTGTGGCCAATTTAATCCCATAGCACGTTGTCATGAGTCGTTATTCCACATGACGGGGGGACAGCGCGGGATCTGGGGACTCCGCCTGTCCACCCAATAACATTCCCCTTTGGTTACCCTATTGCACAACCCTGACTTAATGAGAACCCCCCCCCTTTAAGTAAGTAAGTAAGTAAGTAAGTAAGTAAGTAAGTAAGCTCCTGTGTAGTTTGTCACTAGATTCTTTTGATATTGTTGGTTATTGATATTTCCAAAAATGGTTGTGCAAGTTTGTTATTTTCAAAGATCGTAATGCTCCCAAGTTCAGTGGTCTAGCTGTGGTTTATTTATTTTTTATTAAATTCCATGAGGTTGAGGTCTATGAATGCCTTCTGAAAATGCCATCTGTCGCTCAGGCTGTCTGTTGTCAACTCAGGCTGCATGTTGCATTTTGTCTGTCTTCCACGACCACCATCCAAATGGCATTGGATGTGAAAATATATTTGCACAACAATGAAAATATGAGCATTACAAATATTAGCCATTAAACAGTGCAAAATATTAATGGATACTTTTAAAGCCAATATTCATAAGTGACTTATAGACCATAATACCAAGCACACATGCCGGGAATGTGTTCTGATTTCAAGAACGGATTCCTAATGTATAAGTAAGATTTCACATTTGGACACTGCTCAATTTATTTTAAGTGCTCTTACTAATAACAAATGGTGGTAGTGTAGTACATGATTAATGTAAGCAGAATCTTGGGCGGGGGGGTGTGTGTGTGAGAGAAATACTTTTGCAGCGAAGTCCCAGAATGCAGATGAGAAGGAGCATGTCCATATTCAAAATGTGCACCCCTCCTCCAAAATAAACCCACCTCTTTTCTAAAGTACTCTCTCTGATATACACTTGTGCATATACACACTCCCGCCTTCTCTTTAAACCTTTAAATGCCTCTTTGCAGAGATTTCATTCTTCCTGATCTGCAAGAAGATACATCTTTATTTACTGTATTTCTTATTTTGCTAAACAATGTCCAAATCGCCGTGACACAGTCAGATGTACAGTATCATCCTCACTGCTGTCATTGCCTGTTAACTTGTAGCAAATCTATTGACTTAGTTATGCATCAGTCCCTGCTCAAAATTGCACCTCAAGGTACTGTAATAATGAGGCTGAACATGGCTTGTGCAACTATGCTTCTATGTGCCCCTCTCTGTCCCACACCAGGTGCAGATCTGCTGAAAGACTCCCCAGTCCCATTGCTACATCAAGAGTGTCATTTTTAAAAACTGAGAGTGAAAAGTTGTGGATGCCTGCAGCTTCCCCACCTGATCTTTTATTTAAAAATCAAGCAGTGTGAAGATTTGATACATGATCTCATCTGAGGGGAATCGCAGGGGGTCCCGGGCAAATTTAGGGCAGTGTGACTGGTTCCACTGCTCTGGGTGCTGAGCCTAGGGGGTGTTGCAGGGTGTCACAGCTATGATGTATTGAATTGAGCAGAATGGAATTGAGAATGGAATTGAGAATGGAATTGAGCAGAATGGAATTGAGAATGGAATTGAGCAGAATGGAAATGAATTGAGCAGAATGGAAAGTGAGATGCGGGGTGGAGGGGCAGAAATCTGGGCTCACACAGGACACCATTGAAGTTTGAAAGACCAAAGTCCACCCCTGTACACTCGTACATGCTGGTGGGATAAGAGCTGGAAAGAAGACAGAGAGGAATTCCCCAAGTGAAATAACCCTTTTCCTGGCATCGAACAGACCAGGCTTCCCATGCATACGGGAAGTGTGATGATGGGAGGAATACAGCTGAAGGTGGTTAATGCAGGTAAAAGAGTGGGGAGAAAAGCAGTGCTGGATTTAGGGCAGTGAGGGCAGTTGAGGGGGTGCAAGATGAAGGGGAGAAGAAGGAGGAGGAGGAGGAAGTATAGTATAGTATAGTATAGTATAGTATAGTATAGTATAGTATAGTATAGTATAGTATAGTATAGTAGTGGTTTTTTCTGGGGGTACTCAAGTACCAGCATTGGTACTCAAGTACCAGTACTGGGGTATGCAGTACCAGCACCTTTTTTCTAGAAAGCACTGACAATAACTATCACCACCTATATTTATATAGGTAAATATCTAGGTAAAGTACCAAAAGGAATTACTGTGAAAATAAGATGACGACAACAACAACAACAAAAATGTTGGGCAGCTCCCAACAAAAAAATAGTGAAAACGCAATACAAAAAATAGCAAAAGCACACATTTAGGGATTGTGTGCAAGGTTTTGTCTTTGCTCCAGATGCTATCTTACCAAAGTCCACCACTGGAAAAATAAGGGGGGGGGTGAATGAAAAAGTCCTTGGCATCTGGAATGAGGGCTGGGCATGGGCTGGGACATTTGTGTGTGCCACCTTGAACACAGGATAAAGAAATAAAACAATTAGATCTTGGTTCCAGGGTCTATTCCCCCCTTCTCCCTTCAGTCCCCCCACCCCCACCCCTCACCCTGGGTCATTGTCATGCGATTGGCTGGATGTGAAGGCATTCAGTCGAGACAGCAAGGCAGCTAAATTGCTTTATCCCTGTAAAAATCGATGACTAAACCTATGGTGTTGTGTACACTGTTTCATATGCACCAGTGCAGCGATAAATTATTCATGTTGTGCTCTGTCAGCAGTTTTACTGTAGACAGCAAGGCTACCAGCAGCACCTAATCTTCGAGCACATGAGTGCATCTTTCAGTGATTATGGCCCGTGAGCATATTTTATGAGAGGTGGGCCAGATGTTGTGTTGCTTTCAAAACGCAAATGTGACTGCTTTGCTTTTTCCAACCTGTCTGTCCTTCACTGCTTACATCTCCTGGAATTTTCTCTCTCTCTTAAAGTTGCTTTACGTGAGCAGGTGTGACATGCTGAGGGATAGTCGAAAAATGGAATCGTTCAGAGCTCTCACCTCCGAGACAAGACAGTGTGGCTGGGATGACTCAGTAAAATGCTGAATCTATGCAAAATAGAATTATCCTACTCAGTTTGGTTCTAAAGGCTAATAACACACACAGTTCTAAAATGATGGAAAGCCATTCAGTAAATAACGGAACTTTGTTTTTAAGGAAAATAAGAGTTAAAGTTGAAGCATCTGTTCACCAAGCTATTTTTAGAGCTCTGCTAAAAAGCTTTGGAGTGAGTTTTGTCCTCTGTGTGTCTTTTTAAGAATTGTTTGTGATTTGATATCTTGAACTTGCGTTACTGTCAGGGCAGATGCATTGAACTGTTACACAAGAGTCTTTGTGTGTGTGTGTGTGTGTGTGTGTGTGTGGAGTGGGGTGAGAGAGGCAAGGCCCAGTAGTAACACAAATTAAGAGTAGTATAGAGGAATTGTGAATCAGTTACAAAAGGGCACTTGACTGCTAGTCAGCCATGATTTTTTTTTCTCAAAGCTAAATGTGTCACACAACAATCCTGTAAAAATCAATTGTGGGGAGGGGAGCAGATAAGTCTTTCATAACTTTAGATAATGTGCATGTTGGCTGGCTTTTTGCTTTGCTTTTCCAATATGCAGTTTTCCGTTGCAGAATTGCAATGTCGGCAAGGGCAATTTGGTATGACTTAGGCCAGTCAATGGTGAAGGCAAAGGTTTTCCTGCAGTGTGGGCCACCGTGCCATTGGGATTATGGAAGAAGGAGATTAGAATTACCACACCCTGTGTGTCTTGTGGTCGCAATGACTTTGGGCTTGAGATGGGGCATGAAAGAACCAGGGAAGAGGTGGGCTAGGCAAAAAGCAAGGTGGCTGCTTCTATTTATATTAATTAATTAATATACCAATGGGTTCCTAAGTAGTATAAAGTAAAAAAACAAACCACACAAGCATTAAAATATAGCTAACCATAACTGAAAGATGCAATAAAACAATCCCATTAAATCAATGGAAGGAAATAGCAGCTGGGAATGTGAGAAAGGCAGACAGCCATATCTGGTGAAGGCATTTTTAGCAAGGGAAGCCCAGATGTTACCACACTACTGTGTCCTCTGTCACCGAGGCAGGAAACTCTGGGTTGTATTACCTCAGGCAGTCGGTGACAGCAAACACAACTTAACATTCCTCCATTAAATAATAATAAAATATCCCTTCACATCGAAGCTAGCATTTTGGGGAGAAGGTTAGGCCAGAAACTTTCCCCGTGCTATGATGATTTCCTGCTACCATTTCAGAAATGTGAAAGTCTTTGTTGTCTTTTTTTTTTACTCAGGTCTTGTACATAGCAAGGGAGCATTCAGCCAAGCATATGGAGGAAAAAGGCCAACCAAACTACATGGCTAATCAGAGCATGTGCTACCTCAGCAAACATCATGCCATTCTGCCTGGCTGTTAAGCAACATCTCCACCCTTTGCCCTCTTGGCTAGTTGACTCTTAAGTTGCACATAGAGTGATCTGTGCTATGGCACTTCCAACATTGTTGTCCTTCCATTCCCTCTCTCATCCAGTAATCCGTGTTGATTGCCTTTCGAGAGAGTTAGCATTCCATAGGGGCTATCAAGCATGCTCAGTCCTCATTGGGCCTCTTATTATGTTTTAGGGTTGCCATGTTTCAAAAAGTAAAATTCCAGACACCCACAAAGTTGTTAGTTTTCCTGACACCCACAAAGCTTTTTTTGGTTTTAAACTTTTGGAGCTGTTTACGTTGCTTCTTCCATTGTGTTGCCATATATCCAGGTTTCCCCTGGCATTTCCCCTCCAACACCATTTTAACACCTGAAAACCAGGACGTGTCAGGAATTTTCCTGATGTATGGCGGGCCTAGTATGTTTTGTACATCTGCATATCTTGGGGTTACCTCAAGTCTGCTGATGCACCCCTTTGTGTGTTTTGTGTTGCTGTTTTAGCTATATAAGGGATACCTCTAAAGGCATTGAATCAGAATTATCTGATTAAACGTACTAAACTGAACCAAGTCCCATCATGAGGGATGGGTAGTGATTACTTTAAAAATGCATTTCAATGTGCCACTTCCTCCCATTTCAAAAGCTTGATAATGGTGTTCCACTTTGTAGGATGTTAATTGTTTGTCTATATGTGTGTGCATATGAAAGACCCATTCCACGAAGGCCAAGGATCTCGATTTGAAAAGTACCACTTATGAGTGGAATTGAATAGAAAGCAGTAATGATTGCTTTCAAGATCTCTTGTATTTGGGAATGATCTAAACACACATTTGCATGGGAGACCAGAGTCGTAATACCCATTAAGGGTCATTGTGCTGCACATTTTCATAATGAAAAGCTACATTCTTCAGCTGCTATGATGAATGGAAAATTCATACCAACTGGAAGAAAGCAGCATCAGGCTCTGTGCATCTAAAATGGTTTTGAGCAGCACAGTTTTATGGTAAATCCACCGAGTCTCTGTGCAGGGGGCTATCTTCCTTTTGTCATGTCTTTCATCCCTTGCTGTGTGCTTCTCTACTCAAATTTCTCTTTCACAAATACTGGATTGGATCCAGCCCACCATAGGTGAGTATGCAGAGGGTTTCCCCCATAGGCCAGTGGTGGCCAAACTCACCCCTAGGCCTCACTAGAAAGTTTTGCAGCTGTAGGTCTAATTTCAAACATACTCTGTGAGCCATTGATTTAGAACAGGGGTCAGCAAACTTTTTCAGCAGGGGGCCGGTCCACTGTCCCTCAGACCTTGTGGGGGACCGGACTATATTTTGAAAATAATAATAATGAAAGAATTCCTATGCCCCACAAATAACCCAGAGATACATTTTAAATAAAAGCACACATTCTACGCATGTAAAAACACCAGGCAGGTCCCACAAATAACCCAGAGATGCATTTTAAAGAAAAGGACAGATTCTACTCAGGTAAAAACATGCTGATTCCTGGACTGCCCACAGGCCGGATTTAGAGGGTGATTGAGCCAGATCCGGCCCCTGGGCCTTAGTTTGCCTACCCATGATTTAGAACTCTGACAAGAGTGTTCCGCTCCCTCAGAGTGGATCTTTTGGTGGGAAGTGTATGAGTGAAGTGGTGGAAGAAAGACAGAGAGGTAGGTGACCTTGACCACTTTGCCCCCACTACTGTTTTTAGTTCCAGCCACAACTAGCATGCGGTCCCTGACATATTAACACCTCCCGCAAGGGAATGTGGCTGGCTACAGGAGAGAGAAAAAGGTTGCCAATTCCTGTTGCAAGGTCATCACAGACATGTTTTCTCATTCCTATCATGCATGCATGTGAACATCACAGACCCTCCAACATGATGCAGCCAAAGTTGGGTACACCATCTTCCGGTTCTGAGTCCCGTGACCCTTGCAAGATCACAGACCCAGGAAAAGTGTTTTTTCAGGCACGGCGCCCAAGAACGCATGTTTGGGGGCACTGCATGAGATTGTGGACCCAAAGAAACACTTTTTCAGGGTGATATATCAGCCAGAAATCATGCAAGAGCAAGGTGGCCAAAATGGTCACCGTACTCTCATGGGGGAGGGGGGAATGGGATGTCCTGGTTTTTCTGCTGCAGTTGATGGGCACGACACCTTCAGAGGCAATGTCAGACCATTATAGGAAACAGGAGAGCTGTGTTATATACTTCCTAAAGACCTATTCAGGCTTCACCCTTCCACTGAAAAAGGAAAAAGCACTTTGATCTCATTTCCCTTGACTGAGCACAGGGAGAAGAGGTGAATGAAGATATGGAAGGTGCACATCAACCTTCTGTTTCCTGTAGCATGCCAGTGTGCTGAACCTCCATGAGTGTCTGCTGCAGTGGGCATGGGGAAATTGGAGATCTGCTGCATTCTCTTGGGATATTTTTGTATTCAGACATAGCACCTTGGGTTGACTGGTTTGAGCTGTGTGTTTATAGGAATACAGAAGTGGAGTCAATATTGTGCTAGGAACAGTTACCGGTACTTGAGATTTAAGGCCAGCAGCTTTGATGCTGCCCCATGGGTATAATCTGATATAACCATTGTCTATATAGAAATGGAAGGCGCTCTGTGTATTTGTGGAGCCCCATCTGTCACAGCTACCAATGAAGCTGTCACACATGAAGTAGGCTGTGGTTTTCACGTGGTGTTTTGCACAAATTGAGGTGCTTGTGCGAGGAATCATTTCCTAAGATAGCGTACTGGTACATGTGTTCTGGAGATGAAGGTTCTACTTCCTGTGTCTGAGGAAATGAAGCGACTTCTCAAAAACAAAGAAGACTTAACTAAATCTGCCCTGCAAGTAAGGATTTTCTGGGAGAATTGTGTTCACAGCCACTAGTACAAAACAGAGCATTGCAGCAATAGAAAAAGTAAGAAGTAAACATTTTGTATGACTGCAGGTCGTCCCACACTCATTCATATTATTGTAGTTGTGCACATCACCTATTGCTTAAATCCTTTCAAAGTCAACTGAAGTGTAAAAGGATGCAGCCAGTGTTTTCAGGTCACTGATTATGCCCTGCTAAGTCTTGGAATACATCTTAGTTTATATGGCTCTGTCCTACTAAGTTGCCTCAAAGGAAGACCTCCTGGGAAACATTTATAAGCCTCCCTGATATCTCCAGAGGGAGAGCAAGGACTTGGTCCCATCCACACCATACATTTAAACATGGCCTCCTTCATGGCCTTCCTGGGAACTGTAATTTACTACAAAGATCACCACCCGTAACAAACTACATACCCTCCAACATTTCTCAGATGAAAATGGGACATTCCACATCAGGAAGCTTCTCCAACATTTTATGTCGCCGTATACATAGACGTCATATACATATTTTTTTTAAGGATCAGACAGTGGCTCACTGGCAACAGGGCTTATAGGAGATGGCAGATTCACATATTGTACAGTATGTTTAGATTTTGGTCTACTGTCTAGAATGCCCAATGTCCAGCAGAAATAAAAATCTGTGACATGGTCTTTTGGCTTTTTCCCGACAGCAAACCACGTTCTGAGAGATCCAACTTTTAGCTAGGCTG